AGTATTAAAAATAAAACGTGTACATACACATACGAAACAACAAAAAAGAACATAACATCAGCAGCCTCCGCTCACCACCATCCCTAAGAACCCGCACTTGCAATCTCATATAATGTCCGATGCCCGAACCTTTTTGCTAAAAGGGGTCGATAACGGGTATGTCATGGGTGATCGAATCGAGTTGCAATCTCATATAATGTGGTCCGGCTCGCGAACCGGCGCACTGTGGTGGGGGGGGGGGGGGGGGGGGGGGGGCTGAAGTACGTGTCCCGCTCACTACGAACTATGTAGTACCCATAATCAAGCGCATAATTTGCATGTTCATGGGCCCGGAGCACTCGAACAAACCTGGAGTTTATTTTGAGTTGCCGAGCGAAGGCCGCTCCAAAAGGCTACCGTGAAGATAGCCTACAAGGGAGAACTTCGAACACCATTGGTGTGCTGGGGTGGTTGGGGTTGGGTGGGGTGTGTGTGTAAGTGTGGGTGTGTGTGTGTGAGATGGGTCCAGTACTCCAAGCGATGGCAGTTGACCCATATCACTGCCCACTTAGCAACACTTACCAATGCTTGTTTCGATTTATTCTTATTTATGTCGCTCCAACATGAATTCTGGCTTTGTTACAAAAAGTGAACAATCAAAAGGTTCACTTTTAACGAAATGTGTATTGTAGAAGGAAAACAAAAACAATGCAAGCGATGTAGATGCTGCGGCCATGTCTGAATATAGAGTGCAATCCTCTAAAACATCGATGCAAAAAAAAAACGAAAAAAAAACAACAATCTGCACCTACTGCACCTGTATATGGACAAATGTGCAGTAGTCTAACCATCTGTACAAATACAAATCTAATAAACACTACACCTATGAACACATCACGTCATCCGAAGCACTAAGTATAATATACACTACTAAGAAATACAGGATGAAAGAGGACTAATGGTGGGACTAAACATCATCGTCGTCCACAATGTCCTTCCTCCTCCTTTGCAGCACCGCACCTCTGACACCTTCGTCGCCACCTGTGCCGCCTACCGGCCCGTGCGCAGTATCCGGAGCATGAACCCCCCCTGTAGCGCCGCGTCAACCCCGTGCTGTGCTCGAAGAAGGTCGTACACGGAAGCCCTCCTCCGCTGGCCACGAGGCATCTCCAAATCATCGGTACCGGACTCCAAAACAACTCCTGCCTGTGACGGTCGCTGTGCACGCACCGTCCTCACATCCTCCTCCAATATACGTCCGGCCATGCTCCTCCCGGGGGGGGCGCTGTGCTCCGCCTCCTCCCCCCTACCTGCTGTGCGCCCCCCAGTACATGGCATCTCCGCCTCAGTAGGTGCTATGATGGGCTGCTCCGTCGCCCGACTGGAGCCCCTCTCCCGCCAACCTACTGTCTCCGTGACAACGTCCAGGGCCAATGCCTCCCGAGTCCGCGGATGTAAACAGGCCAGCCCGGGCTGAGTCTCCCGCATCGCATGCGTCACCCTCCTCACAGTACTGAGACTCTTACCTGCTCTCATCTTCTTCTTCCGTGATTTGGGAGAAGGAGACTCTGCAGGTGCCGGTGCGGTAATCCGTCCCGTGACTGGACCCTCAGCATGTACGGAGGTAGTGGCACTAGTGGTGGACGATGGCAGTGATGGGCTGCAGGGAACGTAAGCTGGGCCCTCTGCCATTAACCTCCTCGACGCCTCGTCCATCCGTCCGCGCCGATCTGCCTGCAATAGGTCCTCTCGTACCTGCAGCTCCAACTCCCCCGCCGTCATGGCTCCACCGATAGGCAATATACAAACACCCTGAACCGGCGACGCGGGTCTCTCTCCTGCATCGTCCGTCCAACGATGACCCTCACCACCGCCCGTCTCGAGCATCCGCTGTGCCCGTGCCCTCGACGCAATACTCTGTGTCATCTCGCAACGGCTAGCCAAGTCGTTCGCCCTCTCCCTCTCCTTGCGATCAATCCTGTCCTGCTTCGACTTTGGTGCTCGCTCCTGCTCAGGTCGACAATCCCCACCGTCCCCTGCTGCACACTCCTCCTGCCCCGACGAACCCTGTGTCCCCGCTGCTGCCTCCTGCAATATGCTGCTATTGATGTCACCCATGTTGCATGAAGGTACATCCCGGAGTATCTGACTGATGGGCATAGCCGCTGCGTCACCACTGCCACGCTCGCCTGCCAGTGTCGGAGGAAGCCCCAGCGAAACATCAAGAATACGACTGAAACTGACACCCCACTGCGCAGAAGCCCTCCCTACCTGCGCAACCTCGCCAGCAACCTCTGCACAGCCCCCTGCGACCTCCTCAGACGCCGCTGCGAACTCTCCAGCGGAGGGAGCGGCCTCTGCAGCGGCCTCTGCTGACGCAGCAGCAAACTCTGCCGACCCGGCGCCAACCTCTCCTGTCGCGGCACCCTCATCAACCCAGTGCACAGTGCGAGTGGAGGATGCAGACTCTCGCCTCACCCGTCCTCCGCCACCACGGCCCGCACCCCCTGTGTGTCCTGGGCCCCCAACACCCCTGCCTGCACCACTGCATCGGTCGGCACGATGTCGATGCGACCTCCGCAAACCACCTGCAGCCTGTGTACCATCGCCGCCCTCGTCGTCGTCGTCGTCGTCGTCACCACGTCCGCGTCTCGGGGAATAGGCGGGATCATCCTCGTCCTCACTGCTGCCCTCGTACCCCTCTCTATCATCGTCGTCATCGTCGTCTCGCTCGTCAACAATCTCGCAAGTCCCCTGCTCGCCATGTCCTGGACGATCTGTAGGTAGAGGGGCATGCTGCGCAACGGCCCCTGTGGGAGCACGACCACTCGAAGGCGGAGGTGGAGGTGGAGGGGGATGCTGCGCAGCGGCTGCAGTGGAAGCACGCGCACTCGGGGGCGGAGGTGGAGGGGGAGGTGGATCCTGCGCAGCGGATGCAGTGGAAGCACGCGTCCGAGGACGCAACATCTCGGCGAGAGAAACATCGTCACCACCATCATCAGAATCTCCGGGCTCAGGCTTCACTGCCAGGTCGTCTGGATCGGACCACGGCTCCGCCTCCATCTGGTCCTGAGCCATAGGATCCGGCTCGGGATCGTACACGGTGTCCAACTCAGTCGGCATGAGCACCGTGGCGCGACGACCGAAATATGTCTCGACGTTGGGCGGAGCCATGGAAAGGCGATCCTTCCGCCCGCGCTGCACCTGCCGCTCGCGCTGCGCCTCCGTGACTCAGTCAGCTGGCCGAACACCCTCGTCACGAGGCGGAGGAATGATGTCCTCTGTCTCCTTCTCAGCGTCCTCCCATGGCAGAACGTACCCTGAACCCCTCCCCTGACAACGGCTCAATCTCAAGTTGGTGGATATCTCCACCAACCGAGCCAGCTTGATAAAACCAAGCTGGTTACGCTTCTTCACCTGAACACGCTCATGGACGACCCAGTTCCTCTCCGCTGGAGAGACGCACGTCCATGTGTGTGTCAGGCGAATGGCGTAAGTCTGAAGGAGAGGGACCCCGTCCCCGTGCTGAACCCACCACTGCCCCACCTGCGACGTCTCCTTCTCCCCTCTGCAGGAGGCCACGTCCCTGTCACCCTCAACCCTTCCGTACGTCCAATCGCCCTCCCGGCTAAGAAACTCAGCCAACTGCGTGCGTAGCGTCCGATACAAGTCCTCATCTACGCCAGTCTGCTGGCGAAGGTATCGAAGTGACTCCTCTGCGAGTGTCTTGTCGTGCTCGCTGCGCCTCGCCGCTCCAAAATATGTAATGCTCCTGTGGCGAGGGTTGAGGAGATGGGCGATGCAATGTGCGGGCTCCAACATATGATCGGCCCGCGCCTGACAAGCCTGAACAACGATGTTGAGCTTCTCCCTCGACGTCCTGTTCAGTCTCGCCCTCGCCACCCTGTCGATCATGGCAAGTGCCCACGACCACATGCGAGTCATCACGCGCCCCCCTCTGTCCAGACGGCTTAACAGCTGCATCACAGGCATCATGAGCTCCACGACGTGCTCCCAAAATGGCGCGTACCGCACCTGATGACGCACCCACCTGGGCTGCAAGAAAATGGACCTCCTCCATGCAGTCCGCAACCAGTCGTCGCTTATCATCAACGCCTCCAACGCTCGGCGACGATCCAACAACCTCTCCAGCATCAAGTAGTGGGTAGCAAACCTCGTCTGTGCGGGGTACACAAGCTCTCTGCCTCGCCGCTGAGACGAGGGTGGCGCAACGCTGGAACTGGCCGCAACTGCGGAGGCGGAAGAGGGGTGGGCGGTAGAGAACCGTCGGTAAAGGCTGAGAGCCGCCCCGTGCTCTCTGATGAACCGCACGACTGCTCGAGCCCTGATGATGGTGTCCTCCCTCTTCCCAAGCTTCCCGGGGGTGCCGTCCTTCGCAATGTCTGACAACAACAAGTTGCAGACATGCACCGCACACGGAAGCCAAGTAATGCGACTGTACTCTACCTCCTCCTTCGCCAGGACCTTGGATGCAGCCACATACGCGGACGCAGAATCCGTGCAAATGGCGTTGACGTTTTCGACACCGAAGTTGTCGAACACGTCCTTCCATCGCTCCACCACCACCTCGGCCGTCTCCCGGACAGCACCATCGCGCTGCACAGTCCGGAAAAGGTAGGCTCCCGTGGGCCCAGCGGCAAGGAAGTTGACGATCTGGTCGCTAGTGATGGACTTGCGACCATCCTTTAGGATGCTCGCTCCCGTCGCTGCAATGTCCTTGAGGACAGCCGCCACCATCTCCGCCACAACTCGCTGCTGCTGTGGAATACCGTCGCCGGAAATGAGACGGTGCGTGGGCAACTCGAGCAACCGCTTCCTCACTCGCTGGTACTCCGGCCTCCTCGCCACCTCGAATGGAATCCCGCTCACGTACCACCACTGCAGGAACTCGTTCGTAAAATCTCGTTGCCACGCCGGATTGAAGGTCTCTATCATGGAAGTCTGTCGAAGGACTTTGCCCTTCTTCGGCAGAAGAGGAGCTGGTGTCGTTGCCTTCCTCTTTCTCTTCTTCGACTGCACGACGTCCTTCATCGCTTTCGCAGCCCCCTCTTGGCCTCGACGGCCAGCGACCATCAGACCCCCATCAAGAGACGCCCCAAGGTCTGCACCCTGATCGTCGTCGTCATCGTCGTGCTCGTCCAGGGTGCTGTCCTCGGCAACGGCCTTCTCCCCCCTCATCTTTCCCCTGGCGCGCTCCGCCTCTTGCCGCACGTCCATGTCCTGTGAATCACTGTCACTATCATCACCTCCCCCCTCGGCCGCCCTCCTCTCCTGCTCGTTGTCGTCACACTCCTCCCCCGCCTGCTCCCTCCCTGAAGTATTTCTATTGTCTCAAAACCCACGAGACCTTTGGAAGTCGATTATCTTCCGATGGTGGCTCTCATTGAACGGGTACTTTGTCTTGTTCCAGATCTCCGCGAGCTGCTCCGCGGCGACTTTAGCGCAGTTGTTCTTTATTGTGAAGTGTTGTGCGGCCTTCGATTGACTGTCCTGAAAACCCCGGCCGCACAACTTGCACTCCATGAGAAAATTCCCATTAGAGTCCGCCAGTGTTTGCCCCTTCGTTATCCACTTGAATCCGCAGAACTTGAGCTCCGACTGCCTCTGTTTGTCCTTACTGACTGGGACAAACTGCTGCTCTCCCCTCCCTTTTCTGGGTGCCATCGTTCACACCCTACAAGGCTACAAGTGGCCCCAACGTGGACAAGGCCCGAACCGCGCCGCCCTCCCCCCTGCCGCCCTGATTCCTGAACGCACCCTGGACCCTCCGAAGCCTTAGGCGTTCGGGCCGTACGGACGGCCACGCCTCCGTACGCACGTGGCATACGTACGGTGCGTCCGTACGTACGGACGCCCGTGAGCGACGCGCCACTTGTCCCGCGCCGAGGACGGAGCGTCTCCTACGCCGCGTGTGCCGCCATCGCCATCGCAGTCCTTGTCGACTCTCTCTCTCTTTCTCTCTCTCTCTCTCTCTCTCTCTCTCTTTCTCTCTCTCTCTCTCTCTCTCTCTCTCTCTCTCTCTCTCTCTTTCTCTCACACACACACACGCACACACACACACACACACACGCACACACGAAGAAGAAGAAGAAGAAAGAAGAAGAACGAAGAAGAAGAAGAAAGAAGAAGAAGAAGAAAGAAGAGAAG